TCATAAATTTATCTATTTTTAAATACGTTACTAAATTTGGTAGTGTGGAGTTCCTTTTTTAGTGTCTATATATTGATGACGAAAAATTTTAAACAATTTAAATGAAATTAAAAAATACAACCCAAGTGCATACCATTTATTTGACGAGTGTTGGATGAGTGGATCTCATTGAAAAAGTTAATAAGACTCATTTATCTAAGAGATGATATGCATTGAATTTCATTAGAGTTCTATAAGTTTACTCATTACTATTCTAGCTTAACTAAGGTCATCGGTTCGAGATTTGAGAATGCAATTGCGTTGAATACTCGGTAGGGAGAGCTTTGCCACCCTTGTAGTCCTGCCCGGCTTGAATCCGGATTAGTCGGAGCCTGTTGTGACTACCGAACACCGGATGGTCTAGGAAAAAAAAGAAAAGAAGACATAGCTAGGAAACAGAATACATCTTAAATTCACATTAAAAAGGGCAGTGTCACTTTAGGGAGATTGAAAGAAAAAACTGTACTTGATGGATGGACCAGCTGTAAGTAGTAACCCAGAAGGATTAGGCAGCATATTACAAACTTAACTAGGACCAATTCTAACCTATCATATAGGCCCCTTTTGCAATGTGAAGCTACCTATATCAAAGGGGACTGGAAAAATACCATCCAGCTATGAAGCTCAGGCATTTTATTCGAGTTTATGAGGCACGGTGTTGGACACGTTTGGATGACTCACATGGGGGGTTTGGATTGGATTAGTTTTAGGAAACACCTTCAACCCTAAACCAAGGGATGTTTACATGAAATTCAATCATAAATTCAATTCAGTTTTATGTTTAGTAAGCAATATAAATAAATCCACGGATTTATCACAATTTTCACTACACATTTGTTTTGTAAATGAGTATATTGTCCATTGACCAATCCAAACCATACCTATGTTTATTTAATTATAGAGAAGAGTAATTTCGAGGGAGGGATGTGATTTAATAGATATGATATTTCAGGCCATGGATTTGGTAGAGAGGAGTAATTAACCGAGGCTAGCATATATGAAACCCCCTCTGGTTTGTCATATATATGAGTTTAATACTCCGGGCCACTTATGGGCCGGGATATGAATTCGAAACTTCAAAGTCCTAATCAAACATAAAATTAAGAGGTCTATCTAACTATTTTACTTAAACTACCTTTCCAAACCCACCCAACCCTATCAAACAAATATGCCCTTGGGGCACTGATACATGTTGGACAAGCAGAAAATTGTGTTTAATTTTTTTTTGATCTTTTTAAATTTGAGACATGTCCCACATAAGTTTGTAGCCAAATTTCATAACTGAATGTTTATGAAAATTAAAGGTTTCTAAAGAAAGGGATTATGCAAATAAATGACCTAATTTGATAAAAAAGAATTAAAGATAGTTTTAGAGACGTGTGGACACCACATTATAGTTGTTGATAATAATTTAAAAATTATATGCACTTGTTGGTCGAAAGTCTCCCGCCTTCAACGAGTACTTCTACTTCGACAGAATAGTTTAGATGATTAGTTGAATAGGGTTTAACTGCCTTATTTCAAGATTTCCTTGAATGAGATTAACGACCGACTCAAAGCAAGAAAATATGATTTTAACAAAAGATTAATAAAAGAGAAAACTTTAATTCATCAGGAAAGAAGCTTTGGTTACAAAGACTAATGAGACGACCTTGTTAGCCTATTCTAATGATGCCCAAGCCGTTGATCTTTGTTGTGGCTGATCGTGTTCTTGTTCTCCTTTTTTATTGGCATATTCCATTGACGGTTATTTTGTCTCGGACGGCTCTTATCTTCATCAATTCTTCCCTGCATAACTGTTGTCTTTCTGAGTTTAAAAAACATATCAACTGCCTTCAATCTCTTCGTTGACAACTGATTTTCATTGAATTCAAAAAGCCAACATAGCTTATCGTCTCCCCTAGAATAACTTTCATCTCGTAACTGTCATCATCTGAATTTGAAAAATCACGTCAACTGGTTCATCTTTCTCGCATCAATTAAATGTTTGTCATGTGACAAATTCTTTTTTGCTGATTCACTCTATGATAGGTGTCATTTGCGTTCATTCATAAAATTATAGAATACAATCCAAACAATGTCCCCTCGTGTATTTGAGTTAATTAGTAGCCCGAACGAATGATCCTATGTACACAAACAGTCACAACCTTCACTCTCCTAGATATATTATTTAAACAGCTTCAATGGAAATCATGTGACCAAGGAACCAATCAATCATGGATTAATCATGACCAGAGGTGGATTGATTGGGTCGACCAACTAGAATCTCATCTCTCTTCTCATTGGAGACGATTGGGGATTTATGAAATGGTTAAACTTTCCATTTGGTTAGAGTCATGCAATGCTTTAATTCTTCCAATTGGCAGAATGTCCCCCCTTCGATTCTCGATGAAATACATCTCATTAGGTTGCCATCGATGGGCATAGAGAACAATGTTTGTTGAAATCTAATGCCAACCGTTCTTTTCTTAATATCCCCACTAATTTGGGATAATTATGATCTTATAGACCGCTTCTTTCCTTCTAAATCCATTTGCCAACTTCTTTTGAATATCATATTACTTTCCTCTTTCACTGGCTCTGTCGCTTTATTATGTGTGTTCCTGGTTTTAAAGTAACCATAGAATATACGGGGCTAGCCAATTGCTTGGCTAATAAAAAAAATTTGCCTTGACCCTTTTTGTCTTGGGGCCATTATACAAAGGTCTTTACAATATGACTGATAAAAGGATTACCATTCTGGCTCATTAGGCATGAGAGAAAGGTAGGGTAATAGGATGAGAAATAGACACCACCTTCTTCTTTTCCTTTTTCTCATGTTTCATAATGGCCCTCATAAGTTGAGAGAGCACGTATAGTTTATTGTACAGCAAGATTTCAACCTTAGTCAGAATTTGAATACCATTAAACTTGCGTGCCACTTTTTTTTTTTTTTTTGGAATTACAATCGTACATCCTAAGATTTGTCACTTAATCACTTGTACCCATTGACATTTATAATATTACACATAAACTCCCTAAAGTTCATACACACGTAACACTTACAACACTAAGATCCTGTCGTCAGTATATTTTTTAATAAAGTAAACTTAGACCTTCTAAAATTTATATGTATGTAACATTTATACCCCTCAAATTTAAAATATTATACTTAAATAAAAAATACTCCAACTAAAAAATAGAGCATCAAATATTTGAAATTTTACAACTAAAATTCATGTTCTATTATGTCATTTATTTTAAAATAAAATCAAAAATAAAAACTTAATTTTTTCTTAAAAAATATAATTAATATACAATTATACAATTTGTTAGAATAAAACTAAAAAATCAAACACCGATGGACACAATATCTCCTATCTTTATTTGAGATAATTTAATCGTTGATAAAAGATTTAAATGTAATATTTTATATGAGAGGTCTAAATAATACACGCTTACAAATTTTAGATGGCCTAAATATAATTTACTAACAGATATATTAGACATCAAAGGCAAAGGTCTAAACGTTACGCACGTACAACCCTCAAAGAGTTTGTGTATAAGATTTCAAATGTTAGAGATCTAAATAATTAACTGACAAATCTCAGAGGGTTTGAATGTAATTCCGAGTCTTCTGAGCTTCCCATATAATGCTTTAAAGAGCATAGCCTATTATCATACCACCACCTACAAAACAAAAAACACACTTGCAGCACACACAGGGCCCAAATTATATTAAGAGCAGTAAAAGACTCTTTTTAAGTTACCATCAACACTATAATATAAGGCACCATGAACCCTCAAAGTTCAGCAGGTTAATACCACAATGCTAGATCACAATAACACTATGATCAACTTCGAAAAATAAGCAGCATGGCTTGTCATATTTGCCCCAAATCTAACATCAACAAGTTAATTTAACAAAAGAAATATCAAGACATAACGAAAGTATAGAAAAAAAGACAACCACCAAAATAATCGTTTAACATGTTGAAATAATCGAGATAAAAATGGAGAGAAATTTCATGAGGAACCTAATCAAAAGGTAAATGAAATTCGATTAAAAAAACACAGATGAAATGGCAACTAGCTATATTTACTGTCATCCCAAAAAGAGTTCAAACTTACAAACAGTGCAGCCAAAATCAGTAGCTGTGCATCTGTGGGCCATCCAGACAAGGTAATTCGAAAAAGATTCCAATGCCAATGTACAATGCCTCAGCTTCGATATATAGCCACAATACTAATCGACAACAAAACCTCACTGTCATTCAGAGGACAAGCACACAATCAAGGAAGTTTGACAAAGTCATAATCATATATTATGTCATTCATAGAAAGTAAAAAAGGCTGTGAGGCAGGATCAGAGACAATAGCAACATGAACACATAGAAGTTCAGAAAACAAGCAACAAGAGCTCATGTCATAAGCAATGATAGAAAATCTCTACATCAGAATGAGAAGACACAAGACTATGATATTAATGTGGTTGTTTAAAATAGACAACACATAACAAAATTTATGGTGCATGAGTATAAGAAATTTTCAGAACCAAATGCAAACTAGCAAAGCCAAATATGCTGCCATTAAAATATAGAACTGGAAGTATCAAAATGCCGCCAACCCCACCCCACCCCACCCCACCCAACCTGGACAGCCACAGCCTGCAAAAGATGGATTCATAATGACTTCAAAGCTACAGCCAGGAGGGAACACATATCATACTACAGAGATGTCAGTTACCACTGCACAGCTACAATCACGACTTATAAAATTTTCACCATCAGGTGCAACACATCCACATCACAGGTTTATCATTGATGTCAGCCATGTGAAGCCTAAGGAAAGTACCCCCAAAAAATAAGCAACAAAAACTTGCTACTCTGTTCTGTCAGGTCTTCAAACACCAAGTCCCATGCTTAAAAACAGCGTCACAGAGATTGAATGATAGGTCCAACTCACTAGAAGCGTCTGGCTACGGGGGGACACACAATCACACTCAATCCATTAGGGTTCCTACTTAGTATCAGAATCAATGTAACTGAATAACAGGTCCATCTCACTAGCATCATCAGCTACAGGAACACACTTTGGTCATCAGGGTACTACGTAGTATCACCACATTGTAACTGAATAACGGGCCCTTGTCACCAGCATCATCAGCTACAGGTGGACTGTGTACCCTTTCTGTCCACCTTGAGGTTTTTTGTTAGAAGAGGACATAAGATTACTCAAAATGAAATGATGCAAATATAAACCTTACCAATCATGGTATCATTCAGAGAAATTCGATTGTTATATTGTTCCCTGCAACCAATATTCTGCTGTTCACAACCACCATCAAAAACACGATCATGCATCTACGACTTATAAACAGCGTCAACGGCCACAACATCATCACCTGGCCATCTGCCCCATTCAATCTTTTCCCGAACATAACTATAAAACCCAATATATGTTTTTAAAATTAGTTGGTACCACAACAGACAAGCCAAAAATTGGGGGGGGGGGGGGGGGGGGGGGGATGCATGCTTATAGAATGTGAATATGAGCAGAAATTGGGAGGAAAAGAAATGGATCAAGAGCACAAAAGAGCAAAGCCTACCCCAAAAATGAATCCTACAGAACATTTTTCTACAGCAACTTGAAAACTACTATCCCGGATTCCCAGAAAAAAAAAACTAGTTTTGAGAGAATGTAGTCCACAACAAAACATCCAACTGGACCGACTATTGAAGTGTGCAGTAAGTTCCATATTGAAACAACAGAAAATTAGGAAGTCCAATCCTACCAAACTAGCACTAAAGACTGTCTAGAACATGCATGACAATCGAGGCTCCGACAAAATCAACAAGATGGTCACAAGGGATGCACTTCCTTCTTGTCCCCTCCGCAACTTAAACATGTTGCAACAATCACTCCTGCAAAACCCAAATCGAGGAAACAGGTTAGAAAACAATTTCAAAGTAATATTAAAATGGGAATATCAAAATCAAGATATCTAGAACAGGAACTCACATCAATTGAATTCCTAGGAGAAGCACTACGAGAATCAACAAGTTGATCCCGTGTTGATAGGCTCCGAGGTGTTGGAGACCGATCATGGTGGCTTCGTCTATCAGGACTTTCACCCCCAGAAGATGGTGTCCTTCGCATGGACACACTTCGTCGCGGGCTGGGACTACGCCGAGGCGGAGAGGTACTGTGATATTCACATATAACATTACATGAAGCCAAGTGCAAAGTAAAAGAAGCTGATGATTGTAAAACATAAAATTAGCATAGTGAAAACCTTTCAACTGATCGGCTCCTACACCTCTGCCGCTCATCCTCATAGCGTCCCCGACCACGATGGCCTCTATCATAGTCTGGACTTATGCTACGGCTCCTGCTGCGATACCGATAACCACGTTCCCTCCCATGGTACCTGTCACGATCATACCTATCCCCACTTCTACTACGGCTTCTCCTTCGGTAATCCCTGCCTCCATAATAATCATCACGGTACCTGAAAAATGTTGAAAATTTAACTGTTAAGCATACTTGCATACAACAAAAAATAAGGGTCACACAGAACACAAATCGTAAAAACTGCATGCTAGGGAAAAGCAGAATATATATTTTGATAAAGTGAAATCTAAGCAATACAAAAGTTGAAAAACTCCTAAAACTAGTAAACAAGAAGCACAAAGAAAATTCCTGCATGCGTCAGAAATGACAGGCCAATTCACAAAAACACAAAAGAATGTGTCCATAAAAATTTAGCATTTCACTTACTTGAACATCTTTAGACAAAATGGGACATAAAACCTGTTGAAAAAGCAACAAAAATCCTAGAACCACCAACCGTACCACAATACAGTCTCAAAGAAGAGGGTGGTGTATTTTCCAAGAGTGTTCATTACTCAACAAAGCAGCAGTAAAATACATACAGGGTGCATCATAATTTGCATCAATTTATTTCCTCAGAGCTAACAAATAGAGATTCCTGAAACCAAATAAGTGGTGAATGTGCTATTTTGGTAAGCACTCCGATGCACCCAGCAGATCATTTGAGCCCAATGAAAGCACTGTCCCTCGGGTCTTCCAAAAGAGCTGATTTGCAAAAAAAAAACCAGTCCTTTTCCTTAAATATGACCACTTACCACTGCAGCCAGGATGCGAGAAGTGTTGTGTCTTTTGGGATTTGCTTTTTCAAATGCCACCAGTACTACTGGTATCCACATACAGAACTAAAATATAACACCAACAACAAAAAACATGGTTATCAAGTTATTGCATCCGTGTTTCTCTTAAAATAGGTACTCACGTACCACATAAATATTACATGATGGCAGTCATACCATAGCAAAACCATGGTTTGAACCATTGTTATAATCAACCAAAGGCAGATCGTAAAATTTAAAGCAAAGATCAAAATTTTATTTCGGAGCACAATTCTAATTAGCTTGGAGACAAAAAGGAATCGGGAATGTTTCAAAAACAAAATGCAGAGAGAAGATTTTGGAAGTTTGATGCCAAATCATCCCAAAATTTTCCAAACCATGAGAATTCAACTTTCGGTCAATTTGTTTCAGTTTACACAAAAATCGAAACATTTCAGTCATTTTGGTGGAAACAAAACAAAACCTTGATCCTTGAGATATTTATTTTAAATGTATGGTGATTGGAGAAGCTTCAAATATCAGTTGTTCAGGCTATCAAATGTGGCACTTTGCCACAAAGATAGAACCACAGTCTAAGCAAATCCATAGCATCCAAATACAAGATATACAATTCAGGGTGAAAAAGACAATATACTCATTAATGAGCCTAATCAGAACTTTTAAAGAAAAAAATAGAAAAAGAGATGCCCAACATTTTCATTTCCTTTTATGATTTGATAATTCACTCTGCGAAAATGAAAGTTAAACGGTTAAAACAGCACATCATATCTTCTCTGATCTACACTAAGGCAGGTATAGGTCATGAAAATCCAGCCGCATAGTTGATTCACAGCTAATTTATTTTTCAGATATTTTAACAAGAATCTTACCGTATAATGCTTAAAATGTCGAACGCAGGAATGAAAGTGGACAATAAAAGGGTTTACCTTGGGCGGGGGCTACGGCTTCTTGACCTGCCTCTGCTCCTCGGAACCTTTTCAATTATCCTTCCTTTGTGACTGAGAAAGGAAAAAAAAAAGAAAAAGAAAAAATGATAGTAAAGCTGCAAGAGAACGCAACAATACACCATTAAAGATTATGTTAGGAAGGAGTAAGCATAAAGAATTCGACCAGCAATATGAAAACTTCACGAAACTACGATAATTTTTAGTCAATGGAAACCTCAAAAACAATTATTGCAAAAATCAGCACTCAGTGCAAAAATGCAATTATAGCAGCAATATTGACCAAACTAATGAAAATCACACGTTTTAGTAATGCCTCTAGAAATAATTTCATAACGAAATGAAAAGGATGGCAACTTGAACTAAAGATCAACAAAAATAAGCCATACGCAAGAAGAACTTACATCCGTTCAGCATTCGGCCCATACTTTGCAAACTGAACAGCAATCTCTCTACCATCAACAAGTGTCCCTGAAACATTATTGTGAAAGCAATCAAAATCAAATCAATTATTCCAAGTAAAAATTTGCAAACATAATGTTCTTAACCTTCACGAAGAAACTCAATCACATTCAAAAGGTTCTTGGAAATGGTCTACATGAAAACACAAGGATCCATACTGATTCTACCTTAGTAGGTACATACACATTCATAATGCAAATCTTATCTGAATAGAAACTCTAATTACCCCTCCAGTAATTTATAGGAAGTCCAAGCTGAACCATTTTCATGGACCTTTATTTACAATTACAGCAATATATTTCTACAAACCTTACATAATGACAAGTTGAACAATACTTCTGATTTATGAAAGAATGCACAAAAATATGGTATATAGGTATACAAAACAACAGAGACACATACCGTCTAGCCTATCCACTGCCATCTGTGCTTCATCTGCATACTTGTACCGAACAAATGCAAACCCTCGTGAGTCACCAGTCCTAAACGCAAACAACAGAATCGAAAGAAGCTAGAAAAATAGAAATACCAGCAAAGAGAGAAAAATATAAACTGATAAAGAAAGAAATCCACAATGACTAATCTCATCTAAATTTTAACCTTTAGGCTTTTTTCCAATACTCTTTCTCACACATCCTATATATATATATATACCCAACTCGATTATCTAGTATAAATTGTATAATTGTATTAGTTCTAAATATATTTTATTTTGTTGTAGACTTTCATTAATATATTTTATATTAGTTCTATATATATATAAACTTAACTTACTTTTTATTAGGAGAAATCCGCACGCTTTTTTTTTTTTTTTCGGTTAACAGATTTTATTGTATATTTTATTCGGAATTTAGTTATTGGTATGTTGGCATATCAAGACGCAACTAAGAAGAACTATTGCACAACTTTTGCATTGTAGTTAAACAATTTAGTAGAATGGGGTAAATATAACATGGGTGTGCTTAATAATTTTATAATTGAGAGTTTAATGAGGTGGGAAAGGATATATGTGAGGTGCGATTATAGTAAAGCGCCTTTAATTCCCCAAGAGCAATCAAACGAGATCACCAAGAAAGAAACCAAAAACATCTACGGAGATTTTTTGGGAAAAAAAAACCTTCGATCTCTAGGAATGAAGATGTCCACGACCTTGCCGTACTTGTCAAAGAGCGGGAAGAGATCATCGGCGGTCGTCCCTATTTCAACAAAAGGACAAAAGAAATATTCAGACAGAGGAAAGAGAAATAGAAATCGAAACGGATGATAAATGAGATGCTTACGGAAAGTGACGTTGAGGACAAGGAGAGAGTAGGTGTCGGTGATGTCCGGTGGACCGGTTCTCCCGAAGTGCGACATCTCTGTCTCTCTCTTCTCTTCCCTTCTCTGCGAATGGAAAATGGATGTCAGGGAATGGGGATTTGAGGATTAGGGTTTGTTTTTTGCAATGGAAGTTTCTTGAACCAATGTGGGTGGGTCGGTCCAGAGATTGTTGTCGTGTACCATGCATATATTTACGCAAATAGCCCTGTGTTTTCCCTAATATTATTATTGCCGGTTTATTATAAGCAATTTTACCTACAACTTTTACATATATATTACGGTCAAAAAAATGTCTGAGTTAATTTATGTGCATTTTGATTAATTTTTTTCTTAATTCGGTTAAAAATAAGTTATCTATGATGGAATTAAGAAATTTATGCAAAATTTTTTTTTCACGATTTGCCACTCATGATCGAATTCAAAATATCTAGATTTATTGCTTATTCTTGTTTTCACTAGATTACCCCTTTGAGTTTACCCACAACTTTTTTTTAACACATTTTAAAATGTTTTTAAAATTTTATATCATAAAACAATGTGAATGATTATACGTGTGACCATTTAAAACTAAAAAAGAAAAAAGAATTGAATCAGTGAGTCACACAATTTTATTTAATAAGGTCCACTTATGGATCGTTTGGTTGTCGTATTAAAAATAGATGGATTAGATAAAGTAATACAGTTTGATACAATATAAATGGATAAAATATAAAATTAAATATGGTATTAGAATGATATGTAATTTTATCTAGTGTTTGGTAATATACAATATAAGCGTTGAATAGTAGTTATTTAATCCAATCGGTTATTTAATCCAATAACTAAAGGAAAGATAAATGAATTTAAGTATTGGTTGTAGTGGGGGTGAGAGGTGGTGGACGACAATAGTAGTGATAGGAGATGGTGATGGGTGACAATGACTGTGGCGGCGGTGGTAGTAATAGTAGACGGTGATGGTTATGGTGGGTGATAATAACCGTTATAACGGCGGCAGCGACAATAATGGTGGCGGTGGTGGCAACAATGGTGGTGGTTGTAGTGGCCGTGGTGGTGGCGACAGTGGTGGTGATAGTGGTGGTAATGGTGATGGAGGTGACAACGGTGGTGGTAGAGGTAGTGGTGGGAGCGATTAAAAAATATTTTATGAGAAATAATTTTTAAAAGTACTTTTAAAAAGTCACTCCAAACACACCCGTAGAAGCCTATTTTTTATATTAAATTTAAGGTGTTAATATTAGCCGTTAGATTAACTTTAAAACAAAATTTAAAATGATCTCAACCTCAAATAACAAAAATCATTTTATTTATCTTTTGAGATTTGAATTATAAACTATTTTATTATATAGATAAGCGTTGAATAGTAATTATTTAATACAATCGATTGTTTGGTTAGAGAATTATTTTTATCGTATTAATATTGAATTAACAAAAATATTCTAAATCAGTGTTTGTTACATGATGACAACTTGATTTTATCACTTTAAGGTTATAACAATAAATGTGTAGAATAATACGTTTGAGTTGGATTATAATACCACCTTTCTTGGTGGTATTAAAAGACCTTCATAATACAAGTGTATCGTATAAAAAATATATGATTAATATACATTTTTAAAATTAAAATGGTATCAAATTTGTTTACCAAATTAAGTATTAGACCCGATTAAATAAAAAATAGTACAATTCAATATTTAATCAGGTCTACCAAACGAGCCCTTATTTAACTATATATGTTCATTCAAAATATATAATTTGAGATCCATATTGAGATGAATAGAATTACTTTTTTTAAGTGACAACAAATAAGCCATTATGTATTCAATGAGTTATCCAATTTGTTGCATAGCATCTCAACACAAGTTTAGTTGATCACAAGATGAAGTTTACCACTCCACAAGATCAACTTATGATTCTTTGATAACAAAATTACTGGTTAATAAACCTAAAAATTTGGAAAACAAGGGCTTGATCTTAAAAACTTTGATTGATCATAAGTATTTTAACTTAGTAGTATAGATATTCATGACTAAGTAAAATGCCCAAAAATTCTATTTTTTGTAAGACTTTAGTGACTTGGCTAATTTAATTAAACCCATCTAGTTTGAACGGTTTGGACAAAAATCGTTTGGTTCAACAAGTATTTGGCTGGTTTGATGCTCCAACGATCTAACTTATGAACCAACCTAGATTAGGGTCTGGTTCATTGGGTTCTTGGGTTAACCTGTCACGTCGGATTGGTAGTTTTTAAAACACTGGTCCATACACGTACAATGTCATCTTGGGCAAACCAACAACCGTTAACTTAATGAGAGCAGTGTCCTCCACTCACCACCTCCTGCTGCGATTCCCAACCAAGACCGGTCTAGGAGAAGTACGCTGTGCTGTGATCAAATAATAGCTCGAAAATACTATGTAGCCTATATGAAGGAAACACAAGAAAACGTTGCAAATTGAATCCATATATATCAGAGAGAAGATTCCGATCTGCCCCAACCAATGGATGAGTTAGAATCAATCAATGTTGATGCAATTCATGACTGATAATCGACCATAAAAAGAAATTAATGAAGAATATATATCTATATCTATATCTATACTACTTTAAAATATCAGTATATATGAAAAACAATTTTTTTCTACTTTTACCCTCCAATACTACAATTATACCAGACTTATCCTCCATATTTAATTAGGTCATATCAGTATCTATGAAAAACAATTTTTTTCTACTTTTACCCTCCAATACTACATTTATACCAGACTTATCCTCCATATTTAATTAGGTCATTTAAACCAATTCTATTGTTGCTACCTGCGTTTGGTGTTTGGGTTCATCTCTCTTTCATTTAATAGTAAAAGCATTTGGTTGAGTTCACCTCCTTTGGTCATTGGTGCATAACCTCAAACAAATGTGTCTCCTTGCTTCTCTCTTGTGATGATAAACAGCTCATCTTTGTGGCTCTATAGATTCTATGAATTAATGGTGCAAGCAGCAATGTCCCTTTCTCTCTCAGACACACATCGTCGGTCTTGACCTTGCGGAACGAGCGGTATTCTACTTCAACAGGTACTGTTATTTTTTGTTTGTTCTAAGATTTGTGTTCTTTTGTTTATTTTTGATTGATGATTGAATACATAAACAAATTTCGAATTCTTAAGCCATGATTGAATACATAAACAAATTTCAAATTCTTAAGAATGATGTGGATAATGGCAAATTTTCGGAAACTTAACTGAAGACAACAATAATTATTTTGTGCTCCTTTGTATTTACACTAAAAAAGTCACTTCTTCTTATTAGAACTGAGTCTGTTTGGTTGAACTTCGAATCAAATGTTCTATGGTTGAAAGCAGCATGGGGATGTCCCAAGCTAATATAGGAGGTCTAAAAGAAGCTCTTTATGCTCAACAACATCTTCTGCAAAAACTTTACAACGAAATGGATGTGAAAAGAGAAGCTTCAGCCACTACAGCTAGTGAAGCTCTGTCCATGATATTACGTCTACAAGGAGAAAAGGCTGCGGTTAAGTTGGAGGCAGAGCAGTATAAGAGATTGGGCAAGGAAAAGATGTGTCACGTAGAGGAATCGTTGGCAATTTTCAAAGACCATATCTATCAGAATGAAATGGAGATTGTTTTTCTAGATTACCAAGTTCAGGCTTATTGGTACAAACTTTTGAGCATGGGTTGCAGTGATCCAGGAGTTGGTGAGATAAATTTTCCTGAGAATCTGCTGCAAAGAAATGAAAATTTTGTTGGAGAAATTAGTGTTGAAAACATTTCCAGGAGAAGTTTTGTGCCCCCAATTCCTCTTAAATACTCATATCAAAAGAAGTGTGATTGAAAGAGAAAGATCTATAAGTCCAGAAACAGATTTTGTTGAAAAGAAAGCGGAAGAACAGACAAGACAAGAAATAAATGGTCAGACTTTGGATTTAGAGAAGAAGCCTAAGAATTTTGTTGTTGGAGACATCAATTTGTACTGGGAACAGATCAAAAATTTAGATGAAAAAGTGAAAGAGATAGCAAGAGTTAACTATGCGAGTTCTAAGAATGGTTTGAGATCTTCTTCAATATGTTCACAAGTGAACATTGGAATGGCATATGATGCAACGAAAGAAGTTATAAGAAGCGAGTTAGATTAGGCTAAACATGCTCATTATGTAAAGGAAACAAATGCAGATTCTGCTTGTTCCTTAAGTATCCATGATGCTTCTAAAGTTCCACAAATCCATGAGGATTGTAGAGCTCGTGGAAGCCAGACAAAAGAACGGTGTAATGAAGTTTTGGAAGGTGTTGAGAGGATTGAAAAACCTGACATTGTTACATAGGAGGCTAGTAAATTTTGTGTTAAAGATGAAACTGACTGGATAAAGAAAATGTTGTTGTCCTTGCACCAGGATGATAGTATACGTAGACCCAGTGATGGTGTTGCTGTTTTTTTCTATCCTTGCATTTTGGAAAATCTTTAATTTCATATAATTGAATAAATGGGTTGTGGCTCACCTTGGAAACAAGAATTCTCAAGCTTGTAATTATATCTCAGTTGACACAAGTGGAATATGAATTCAACAAAAGCTACAATATATCAATAAATAAATATTTCATTTCAAATCTTTTAACTAACTATTAAGGGGACATGAGAAATTAGAATTGCATTTCTAAATACTCGTAAAAAAACATAACATTAAAAAAAAAGCATGATTAGAAGGCAAATTCACACAAGTTTGACTGATTTCCAAAAGCAGGCATTAAGAGATTGGACTATAGATGTCAGGGAGAAGAACAAGAACAAATTCTTTCCAAAACCTTACCCAACCAAATGAAAATGGGAGATTGTTTCCAGTTCCTAATGGTACTGTAGCAACTGGCGGTGGCTGAGATGGAAACTACACCAAGAAGCCAGCTTGATGCTCCATCTCCACCAGCAACCTAGCAAACCAGATACGGATTAGATGTAAACGACAAGATAACATCATTACCACTTAATTGAACTACTGAATTAACTCACTATCATTCTCAATCTCCTCTGAACTTCAGAGGACAAGCTATCCCCAGTTTGCTTGTGCTTTTCCAAATTATAATAAAGTTGACATAGCACCTTGTCAGGAGCTTTTTCTCCCAAATCAAATACTGAAAGAATCAAGCAACCAAAGATTAAGCCCATGAAGAAGCAAATGCATTCATTATTAAAACTGACTATCAAAAAATCATCAAAAAAAATAATAAAAAATAAAAATAGCTATGACCGTGCAGTATGGGTAAAACCTGATTTTTATTAAGGAGAGAACGATATGTTACGAGAAGTTCTCCTCCCAGCTGGCCACCACTTCTGGAGTTGATGAATACTATCACTGCACAAGCGGGCACATGGGACTCTTGTCTTGATGCTAATCTGGTAGAAGTATGTAATCAAGAATGTAGTAGTCCTTCAAAATGTTATCAGATTCTGAATCACAAACTGCTACTTCATGACTGCAAAATTGTGTCAAACACAACCATTAAGTTCGGAAATTTCGCTACCTATAATAGAATTCTAAACTCATCCCACCCAATTAAGTGGCAGAACTACCAATTGTTTCCATCGCATGCTACAAGTAGCATTTTGTATTTCATAGCACACTGAAATCTTGCGTCTTAACATTTTTCATCAAAAAAACATGTGTGTCAAAAAAAAAATATGCAAGTACAACCAATGTGATCAAGAATTTATTAATAAAAAAGTTTTTCAGATTCCCACCTTCTCGTGAAAAAATTCGAAAGGAAAGCTTTAGATCCTTGGCCTGGAACTTGGCCATGTTTTCCAACCCCACTGCCAATCTGCCCATGAAATTCATAGAAAGATTCGATAATTTGCCAAGAAACTCCATAATTTTCCTTAGTTCCGACAAATCAGAGAGAGATTCTTTACTTGGCCAAGACTTTAAAGGAACTTGAAATGCAGAATCGAAAGCAAACAGTAGTTCTACGGAAACTCAAGAACTAAGATAGTTGATTCTTTACCTGCACAAATTAATTAAAAAAATTACACATATACTCAAAACAATGCAAACAGTAAAGCAACTGTAGCTTCAAAGAAATCAAGAATCAATGAATACAAACACACACAAACGCATAAACACAGGCGCACACTTATATATACGATACCTATTCAAATGATATTTGATTAAAGAGAGAGAGGGTTTATCGGTGCGCTCAATTGATTCGATTCTCCAAGGGGAAACTGAATGATCTAAATTGGAATGCTCATGAAAATACATCCATAAATAGAGGATATTGTTAAAGAGTATACGCATTTTTGCAGACGCATGGAATGAGGTGAGAAAGTGAAGGGAAAATGCAATGCTGGGTTTTAGCTGAATGCATTACCTATGTTGGCAATTGCAAATTGAATTCAGCGAGAGAGAACACTACTCTAAAAAAAGGGCTTATTCCGTTATAGATGGAAAGAAAGACATCTGTTTTGGAAGACCGAGAGTCTTGATAATATATTTGTTGGTATTTTGTGGAGTATAATTTTTTATGTTGATCTGGAGGATGACTCGACCCAAAAAATATGGCGTAATTTTTAATGAAATTTTTTTTGAGACTTAGTCCATGGAGCGAAGACTTGGGCCTGTTTGTTTGTAACCCGGTACAAGCCATATAAAACCTGTTTCTTTTGGGTGATTAGGGTTGATTGATTCTGTATGTCTGCCGCTCTCTTTGTAATTGTTCTTGAAAATAGTAAAATTTCTACAGCTTCGTAGACGTAGGTAAATTACCGAACCACGTAAATATTGTCTTGTGCGTGCGATTATTTTTTTTTTTTGCATGTGTTTTCTCTATTGTTGTTTCTCACAGATTTGAAAATTTTATGTGAATTTCCCAACAACTGGTATCAGAGCCTGGTTTAGGGTTGAGTGGGAGCAATGGCAGAGGAAGCAGGAAAGACGTCTGGAATAGAAAAGTTCGATGGCACAGACTTTGAATTCTGGAGGATATAAATCGAGAATTATCTTTATGGGAAGAAGTTGCATCTGCTGCTTCTACGGGAAAAACCTACGACTATGAAGGATGAAGATTGGACCCTTCTTGACAGATAAGTACTGGGAGTTATCAGGTTAACTCTGTCTAGGTCTATTGCGCACAATGTTGTAAAGGAGAAGACTACAACAAATTTGATGAAGGCTTTGTCTGGTATGTATGAAAAGCCGTCTGCAAACAACAAGGTGCATCTGATGAAGAAACTATTCAATTTGAAGATGGCAGAGAATGCATCAGTAGCACAACATCTGAACGAGTTTAACACTATCACAAATCAATTATCGTCTGTAGAAATTGATTTTGATGATGAGATTCGTGCACTGATCGGTTTAGCCTCTCTGCCAAACAGTTGGGAGGCAATGAGAATGACAGTAAGCAATTCTACAGGAAAGGAAAAACTGAAATACAATGACATACGAGATTTAATTCTGGCCAAGGAGATTCGCAGAAAAGATGCAGGTGAAACCTCAGGATCTGATTCTGCACTAAACTTTGAGATGAGAGGCAGAGGTAATGACAGAAATTCAAATCGGGGCAGATCAAAATCCAGAAACTCTAATCGGAACAGAAGTAAACATAGATCAGACCAACAAGCAAAATGCTGAAATTGTGGAAAAACGGGTCACTTTAAGAAGCAATGCAAAAATCTTAAGAAGAAGAATGAAGATGATTCTGCTAATGCTGTAACATAAGAGGTACATGATGCATTACTTCTTGCAGTAAACAGTCCACTTGATAATTGAATTTTGAACTCAGGAGCTTCATTTCATACTACTCCACACTAAGAAACCATACAGAACTATGTTGTAGGTGATTTTGGTAAGGTGTATTTGGTTGATGGTACAACCTTGGATGTTATGGGTATGGGAAACATCCGAATATCATTGTCCAATAGGTCTGTTTGGTTACTGGAGAAGGTTCGACATATTCCTGACCTGAGGATGAATCTGATTTCTGTTGGTCAACTTGATGATGAAGGGTATGCTATACTGTTTGTTGGTGGTACTTGGAAGATCACAAAGGGAGCCAGAGTATTGGCTCGTAGAAAGAAGACTGGTACTCTATATATGACCTCAAGTCCAAGAAACACAATTGCAGTCGCTGAAGCAAGTACTGATACAAGCTTATGGCACCGCAGACTTGGTCACATGAGTGAGAAAGGGATGAAGATGCTGCTGTCAAAGGTGAAACTACCAGAATTAAAGTCTGTTGATTTTGACATATGTGAAAGCTGCATCTTAGGAAAGCAGGAAAATGTGAGCTTCTTAAAAACTGGTAGAACACCAAAGGTTGAAAATTTGGAGTTAGTGCACATGGATTTGTGGGGGCCTTTCTCCAGTTGCATCCCTTGGAGGTTCAAGATATTACATCACTTTTATTGATGACTCAAGCAGAAAGGTATGAGTTTATTTTCTGAAAAATAAATCTGATGTATTTTATACTTTTAAAAAGTGGAAAGCTATTGTTGAGACAGAAACAAGTTTGAAAGTAAAATGTTTGAGGTCAGACAATGGAGGAGAGTACATAGATAGACGGGTTCAGAAAACCATTCCTGGGACACCACAACAAAATGGTGTGGCTGAGCGCATGAATAGAACTCTTAATGAGTGTGCTAGGTGTATGAGGTTGTATGTTGGACTACGAAAGACTTTTTGGGCTGAAAGTGCTGTCCTGAAAAGGGGTGAAAAAGATAAGGAGAATGTAGAATCACAGGTAGATCAGAATACACCTGTAGCTGATGTTTGTAGATCTTTCAGGATCATTAGACCTCCACAGCGTTATTCACCCACTTTAAATTACCTCTTGTTGACTGATGGTGGTGAGCCAGAGTGTTATGATGAAGCCTTACACATTGAAAATTCAAGCAAGTAGGAGTTAGCCATGAATGATGATATGGAGTCCTTGTTGGGGAATCAGACATGGGAACTGACTGAATTGCCAGTAGGGAAAAAGACTTTGCACAACAAATAGGTATACAAAATTAAGAATGAGCATGATGGTAACAAGAGGTATAAAGCCAGATTAGTTGTCAAAGGGTTCCAGTAGAAGAAGAACATTGACTTCTCAGAAATATTTTCTCCAGTTGTGAAGATGACGACAATTAGACTGGTATTGGGAA